TCTAGGTGCTGAAAAATTATGACTAATACCATTAGAATTACAAAATTCAATAAATCCAAGATTTTTAAATTAAGTGCCATGATCACTCCTAACACTAGTTATAGAGTAACCCTTTTCATTTTGGATTATTTTTGAAAATGTGATGAACTGTTCTAATGCTTCATCTTTAGTACTTAAAAATAGAACCCAAGTATATCTAGAATAGTCATCTACCAAGACAAATGCATATTGTTTTCCACCCAAGCTAGTAGTCCTAGTTGGCCCAAAAAGATCTACATGGATCAATTGTAATACTCTACTAGTTGATACGTCATTAATGGATTTAAAAGAAACACGCTTTTGTTTTCCTTTAGCACAAGCATCACAGATTTTATCATTATCAAATTTAAGCTTAGGCAACCCTCGAACTAAATCACCTTGAATTAGCCGTTGCAAAACACTCATACTAGCATGTCCTAGTCTCCTATGCCATAACCAACTATCATGTTCATCTTTAGCAACTAGGCATAAATTAGTCATATCAAAAGAATCTAAATGCACCATGTAAATGTTCCCTATTCTATGACCAACAAGCATAATCCGATTAGATGCAATGTCAATGACTTTACAACCATTAATTTCAAATAAGACATTGAATCCTTTATCGCATAATTGACTAATACTCAATAGATTATGCTTTAATCCATTCATATATAAAACATTCTTAATTTGTATGGAAGAGATATTACCTATTGTACCAATACCTTCAATGTGACCTTTTGAATTGTCTCCAAAAGTCACTTCTCCTCCATTTTTGGCGTTAAGCTCAATGAACCGGCTTTTGTCTCCAGTCATATGTCTTGAGCATCCACTATCAAGGTACCATGAATTTGAATTTGTTTCCCGTGCCTTGTAGCAATGCTCCTTTCCCTACAAACATAGATTAATTTTTTATTTTTGGTACCCAAATTCTTTTGGGTTCATATTCATTAGTTTCCAAAATCCTAGTCTCCTTAGGTATCCATTTATGTAGGATATTTTTATCTTTAGTAGTAATGAGTTCTTTAGGAACCCGCATACTTCTAACGATTTTTCCATTAGAGGTTCTTTGGGGACCTTTATGATTGTAGTTTCTAAAACTTGTTCTAACAAAGTTGGATTTTGAATTTTCACCTTTTTCAAAATGTTTTGTTCCAACTTTATCAAAAGAAGTTTTAAGATCATCAATTTTCTTTTGATGATCATCATTGATCTTTGAAAGTAAATTTTGCAAATCTAAATTTTTCTTTTCAAACTCTTCTAGTTTGATTTGCAAATCTTTGATTTTACTTTCAAGATCGTTGTTGGTTTTTGATATGAGTTTGTTTTCATTTTTCAATTTTGAAACATCGTTTTTATATTTTAAAAATAATTTCTCATAATCCGAAGCCAACCTATTATATTCCTCCAACAACTCATCATAGGATAAATCATCAAAATCGGATGAGTTAGAGGTTACCTTAGAATCTTCCCCAAATGCCATCAAGCACAAGTTAGCTACTTCTTGTTCCTCTTCATCAGAACTTTCTTCATCGCTCCATGTAGTCACATGAGCCTTGTGCTTATTCTTTGATTGACCTTTTTTCTTCAATTGTGGGCAATCATATTTAACATGCCCTGGCTTTTTGCATTCGTAGCAAATGATTGGGTCCTTCTCTTTTGGTTCATTTTTTAGGCATTCATTTCGTTTGAATTTTCTTCCTCGATAAGGTCTCATCATTTTTTTGAACCGTTTGGCAAACAATGCCATTTCCTCGTCATCGTCATCGTTATTCGAATCACTCTCATCTTTTGTGGATTTGAGAGCAACTCCAATGTTTTTCTTCTTCTCCTTCTCCTTTGGTGTCTCGTCAATTTTGTCGAGGTCCACCTCATCTTCGAGCATCATTTCATGAGTGAGGAGTGACCCAATTAGCTCTTCAAGAGTTAAGGACGTTAAGTCCTTAGACTCGATGATTGTCGTCTTCTTTGATTGCCACGATTTTGGGAGGGAGTAGACTAACTTCCTCACAAGCTTTTCATTTGAAATGATCTCTCCATATGATTTGAGACCATTGACAATCTTTGAAAATCTATCCGTCATAGCTTTGATATCTTCATTTGGTTTCATCCTGAAATTTTCATAGCTATGCGTTAGAATACTAATTTTAGATTTCTTTACCTCATCGGTACCTTCATGAGTGACTTGAAGTTTGTCCCATATTTCTTTGGCGGTTGTACACGATGAAACTCTTCCATATTCATCTGGTCCAAGAGCACAAAAAATGATATGGATGGCTTTGGAGTTGAGCTGGAATATTCTTGTCTCTCCTTCACTCCACAACCTTGGATGAGTGAGAGGTTTGATGTATCCTTCTTCTACAGCATTCCATGCTCCCATGTCACTTGCTTGAATGAAGTACATCATTCTATTCTTCCAATAGGCATAGTTAGCTCCATTGAAGAAAGGAGGCTTGCTGACGGACATCGAATCGAGACTGGAGTCGAAGTTTGAAGCGGAGGCCATTGATGACTTTAATAATCGATATAACTCTTCCCGAATCGAATCAAGAGGTAATTAAACCTTCAAATGAGTTAGGCTCTGATGACAATTGTTAAGTTAATCGATCAACGGAATTAGCCAAGAGGGGGTGAATTGGCAATTAAAAATTCGGTGGAAGCTTTTGTAGAAAATTGAAAAGATTTGCACAGTGATTTAGAGTGGTTCGACTTTCTCAATCAAAGTCTACGTCCACTACCTTAGCTATCCACACTAAGGATTTTCCAACAAATTCACTAATTTGTTCTTTCTTTTGAGGCCAAAGAGATAACCTTACAACACCCTGAAGAATATACCCCAATTCTTGAGAACACTCTTTTCCCAAAGAGAAGATTACAAATTTGCAAACTTACATGGAAAACCTCACAAGGTAAGATGTTTGCACAATTCTAGAACAAGAAAAGAACACTCAAAGATAATTACAAATGAGCACAAATGGTGTTCTTGAAAGCAAAATGAATATTGAAAGGAAAATTGGCTTGATTTGCACAAACTTGGTGTTTGATGCTTTCTCTCTTGTTTCTCTATGATTTCTTGTTGATCAAGGACTTCAGAACTTGTTTAAATACACCTTGAATCACTTCTGAACGTTGGGGATGATTAGTGAAGATCATATAGCCGTTTTAGTGTGAAAACAATTAATAAAACAGTTTGGAGCGTGGGGGGAATCGGTACCCCCTATGGGGAATCGGTTCCCTAAGTGTAAAATTCAAATATTTCGACCGTTGAACAGGGGGGGAATCGGTTCCCTCCGAGCATTCTGGAAATCTCGGAGCCAAACCATTCAGGGGGGGAATCGGTACCCCCTTGGGGGGAATCGGTTCCCTTTGAGCAATCTGGAATTTTTGACTTTGAAATGGTTCGAAATACTTTGAAAGATTATTTTGAAATTGTTTTAAGATTAAAACTTAATTTTACACTTAAGTAAGGATTAAAAATGATTTTTTGAAATATTTGGAGTAATGTTTTGATATTCGAATAATTATATCGAATATACTTAGAAAATCATTTTGGAAAATCTTAAAATTCATTTAACTTAATTTGTTATACCGAAATATCAAAAAGTTTTCAACAAAATGCTTAAGTCACTAAAGTACAAAATATTATAAGTCTTAGTGATAAAAAGAAATGTTATTCTTCCTAAAAGATTTGAATTCAAATAGTTGTTTTTACAAAATATGTGTATGTTATCAATGATTAAGAATCTAAACCATTAAAAAATCTAAACTATTAAAAAAATAAATGATTAAAATAGAAAAAATTTATATATTTTTGAAAAATATTATTGAAAAATACAAAAGGAAAAAGAAACAAATTTTAGGAGACAAAAGATGCATTAAGTATAAGGGAACGTTTGGTTTATGAAATATAATATTACATTTGAGAATAATATTATTAGAATGTTGCATCATTTGACATGTTAATATGAATATTGTATTACCTTATTTGGGTTGTGTGACAAGAATTAAGATTACAACGTTTAATTGGAGGAATATAAGATATTAATAATATATTCAATATTTTGTCAAATTGTCCCTAAGATATATTTTCTTTAAAAAAAATTAATTCTTAAGATTAAAGTGAAAATATCTACATGAAAGTTCATAGAAAATATAAAATTTGTTATTTGATTTAAATTTATATTTTTTTTTATAAAATTCTTATACAAATAATTTAACATATATTTTATTATTATTTTCTAATTTTGTGTTTCTTTGAAAATATAAAAACAACTTATGTCAATGTAAGTACGTGTTTATTTATACATCTCTCTTAATTTATTAATACTACATGTTTGATTTGTATAATAAAATATCACATAAAAAATTCAAACGCATAATAAAAACAAATCAAAAATAAAACTTGAATCAAACACAGAGATAATAAATAATCAAAATAAAATAGAAGCTTGATATATATTTTTTATTTTTTAATTTGTGTACATCATATTATTTTATAATAAGTATTAAGAAATTAGAATCATAATTGAAAAATAAAATAGATTTATATTGATGTAATTATACAAAAAATGATTATTTTAAAATAATTTGACTATTTTAAAGGTATATTAATCCTAAAAATAAAAAAATTGTATAATACCCTTACAATAGAAGGGAATGCCATTCCTTAAAAAAAAACCCAAAAATACTACTATAAATAATATTTCATGATCCCTAAAGAAAATGGTCTTAAACTAAATAGTAAATACAGAAAAAAATATTTTCTTTAGTAATAATTTTCTCTATGAACCAAACGGACAAAGACCCCATTTGATTGGCTATTTGTTGTCAAACTCAGCAACAATAGAGTTAGTATATCCAACGAAATTACGAAAGCATCCATCCAGGTTTCTCATGTTTCATGACTTGTATAAAGGTTAAATTAGTCATTAAACTGGACAAACCTAGCTATATTATCTCAATTTTTACTCCTCCGTCTCTCGAAACCCTAGCCTACATCTTATCCTCCGTCAAAGAACAAACCCAAAAATGCCGCCTAAGTTCGACCCAACCCAAGTCGTGGATGTCTTCGTCCGCGTCACTGGTGGCGAAGTCGGAGCAGCGAGTTCTCTTGCTCCAAAAATTGGTCCACTGGGTCTCTCTCCCAAAAAGATTGGTGAAGACATCGCCAAAGAAACCGCCAAGGACTGGAAGGGTCTCCGCGTAACTGTCAAACTCACCGTCCAGAACCGTCAGGCTAAAGTCACGGTGGTCCCGTCGGCGGCGGCTCTTGTAATCAAGGCATTGAAGGAGCCGGAGAGGGATAGGAAGAAGACCAAGAATATCAAGCATAACGGGAACATCAGTCTCGATGATGTCATCGAAATTGCTAAGGTAATGAGACCGAGGTCGATGGCTAAGGATTTGAGAGGGACAGTGAAGGAGATACTTGGAACGTGTGTTTCTGTTGGGTGTACGGTTGATGGGAAAGACCCTAAGGATTTACAGCAGGAGATTGATGATGGAGATGTTGATGTTCCGTTGGAGTGAAAAAGTTTGTCCTTTTCGTTCTTACGATTATCATCGTGTTTGTCGTTTTAAAAATGTTATATTTTAAGATTTTGAACAACTTGCGAATATTTAGTTCAGAGGTTGTTTTGAAGTTTTATTTAGAATTTCAAGTATTATGAATTCTTTATTTATTTATTTTTATTTATGTTCCTTTAGCTTATATTGTCTACTTTAAATGCTAGTCTTGTGCTTGGTAAGTACGAAGTGAATGGAAAATCCGTGTTTTGATAGTGCCTCAACTTGGTAAGTAAGAAATGAATTTTGTAATATTTTTGTTTGGTAAATCAATGGAAAATGTCCCATATTTTTTGAATTTGAGTTGTTGAATGCTGAAGGAAGTCAATCACATTGGTCTTCTGGTTATGAATGTGCATTACTTTTAGCTCCTTTCTTTATATTGAGAGGTATTTGAATGGCTGTTTTTGGATGTTGTTGCTAAGAATTCTGTGTTGCATTGTCTGTTGTCTGTTTAGAGGTTGGTTTCTTGATTCATGTTTATCTTGTCAGAATTTGTTAGCCAGTTTTGAGTGTAGAACATGACACAAGAAGTATCTTGTGATGATGATGCCTAAGAATCACATACTTATTCCAATCTAGATTCACATTTTGGTTTCTTTAAATAAAGTTTGAGAGCCATTATTTTCTGCTAGTATGTTCAACAATCATCACTTGTTGATATGTCTAGCTCTTGTTTTATTTGTTTGGTCTAAACTTTGCTGAGTTTAGGTTTTAGAGTTTAGGGTTTGTGGTCTGGGGTCTCGGGTTAATTTTTTTCATCGCTTCATGTTGCTTTCTGAATGTGTAATGGATGCATATAATGTGCTGAAATATGGTACATGTTTTTGTTCCTCTCATGTTTAGGGTTTAGGGTTTAATGGTTTTAATATTTAATAAATCATGAGGTACTCTTTTCCTCCTTTCAGTTTTTGTTGACATACGGTTTAGTATGTTGATGATTATGAAGGGGGTTTTAACGAGGTCTCTAATTCTTATAAAAAAGTTTAGGGTTTAATGTTGCTCTCATGTTTTAATTCAATTGAGATTGAGGTCTGTTTGTTTCTAGTTATTTCCATCTCAGCTTTATTTTCTGTGGTTGCTTTTGAATGACAATTGCAACATTGTGCATAGGGTGTTTTTTGCTATATACTTTCATGTAACTTCAGATATTAAGTTTATTTCATTATGTCTTGGGATTGTATTTCTAATCATATAGTGCTTGATATGTTACTCAATTTGTACTTAATTCAGACTTATAATTGTACATCCCCAATTGATATGTATGCTGCCGCTTTAATGGAGAGGTGGTATTTGGAAGTAGTTGCTCATTGGCCTGAAAACAGGTGAAAGCCTTAAAATAGAGTAGGATCGTTGGATGAATTTCCCCTTTGAACAACTACCTCTTTGCCTGTCTATTCTTTTGTGTTTGTGCTTATGTTCTGTGCCATTCGGAAAGCTTGTTATCTTTAGCTTTGAACTGATCTCTTTTGGATATCTAAGCAGTTGGTGTTTGGGACATCTGTGATATTTCTCTACAATCATTTGTTCTTTACCTAGGTAAGGCTTTTGCACTTGGATTAAATTTTGATGATATAATTGTACAAGCCTACAGTGCTTGTTATATGTAGGATGATATAAACTCTCTCTGTTTCTCAATTCGTACATAATTCAACTATCACAAGTATAACTGTATGGCCATAACATGGGATATGCATGGTTGCTTGTTATCTTTAACTTGGAAAAATTGTACCTTGGGATTAATAGGTTGGATTTTTCGGTTGAATTTGCAGTCTCCCTGTCTTTGTGTGTTTTTGTTTTTGTTTTTGATCTGAGCCATTCAGAAAACTTGTTATCTTTATCTTGGACCCCAAGTTATCTGCTAGATATATTACGCGGTTGGCATTGTGAAGAACTGCGATTTATGATAATTCATTCTTTAACTTGGGAAGGCATTTACACTTTGTTGGATTTTTAGCCGAATACGTCTCTGTCCTATTGCAGCTTTCCCTATTTTGTGGGTAACATCTAAATGTGTAGATCATTGTTGTCAATGCTTTAAATGGCAAGACAAATTTCAGTTTTAGAGGAAAGGGAAAGGGATGTTGGCTTTACCTATTTACGTTCTTGATTCTGCCACTTGGTGCGGGACTATGATTTCCCTTTTGGCTGGTTTTGGTACACCTTTTCACCATATTGTACCGTCATTTTCATGCTTGATATTTCTCTGGCACAGATTCTGCTGGAGGTGCCATTTATATTCCCCTAACGCCAACGTTGGAAATTCTCCGTTGGTTTTTAGATTTTGAGGATCTCGTTGAACAATTTAACCTTCTAACCATGGAGTTAGCCCATCAAATTTAAGATATATATTTTTTTGGGGGGGGGGGATCTCTTTCCTTTTTCCCTCCAAACTTATGTTGTCACCTCACTTTAACATCGTCCGCATGGGTTAGCTCGTTGACGACCACTAGATTGTTTCATTATGATTTTCGGCATGATTTCTGTATATAAACACAAATATTTTCAACAAACTTTTGTGCAAAATAAAAACCAATACCTGCATTAGCCGTTATTAGTCCTGTTTTCTAACTGATTCCCTGTCTCTTCCTCGGTTGATTGCCACTGGAGGATGGGAAAAGAGAGAATTAACTCCCATTTTTGTTTGTTGTTTTGAATATTTTGATTGATAAGGATGGATGGAGAGCTGAGGTACATGATGAAACTTCAAATTGAGGCTGCCCCTCCATTCCTCATCGATTTATTGGCGAAACCCTTTCAATATTCCGAAACTAGAGACGATCAAAGAAGAGCGAGCTGAGGACGAATACAAGGATGACGATGACTGCTCATTGACGAAGCGTGATTAGCTTTTTGGTTATGCTTAGGTTGAAGTTACCGTCGTGGTCCTGGAAATTAACTTTTCAGTGACGTAAAATGAAGCACTCAGATGTTGATAATCATGTATTATAATTTTTTATCAGTCTTTTAACTGTTGGTTTGTGTAATATATTATCAAATGTTAAAATAATCTAGAATGATAAAATTTTGCGGTTATGATATTTTTCGATCGACGGATCCAAATGTTTAATGTTATGGGAGTAATTTTCATTAATATTAATCTCTCGATCTTGAATATGTTAGTGTTACTATATAGGGGAAAAAACGAATAGTCATGTTTACATCTTTATAAAGAGTTAATATCATAAAATAATCGTATATCAAGTTAATTAAAAAACTTTAAAAAATATGTTTAAGATTAAGATATATATCTTAAATAATAATTATTATTTAAATGAAATTATTAAAAATTAATACATTGAGTGGTTTCTCTCTGAAGGAAAAAGCAACAATTGTGTTAAACTTCCGATCCAATAAGAAAGAAAAGAGAGAATAATTTCATAATTGATGATTGAAGTGTTGACACGTGTCGTATTTCTAACCAATAAGAAAGAAAGCCAGGAGAATGACCAAAGGCAACGGGAAGGAACAGAATAAATACATAGTTGGAAGCTTATTATTAATTTTTAAAAAGGGAATAATTGAGCTATAAATCATATAATATGATAAAGATGATGAAATTATGAGGTTAACGTGTCTTGGTCGGTCCATATACATTAATATTCATATCAGCATTCCACCAAAAAAACATTATTAGTATACAAACAATCTTGGTCATAACTGTAATTTGAAAGGTTGTTCGGCATGGATAAATTGTATATTTAAAAAAATTTCATATAAATATTTTTGGCATTCAGTAAATTTATCGAACATACAAACTTTTGGTTTGTTTGCTTATTTTGTACCATTAAATGAACCTTTCGACTGTCGTAAAAGTTTCCCCCCCTAAAAATAATATTATATGCATATGATTACTATTCTATGTATTCATGGTCCATGCAATTTTCAATTTGTTTAACAAAATAAATCCATCATTTATTTAACAAAAATTCAATTTCCTATTTTGCATGTCTATCTGGCAAAGCCGTCACCAACCCGCCAATATTAAAACAGTTTTGCTATTCTAATATATAGTTCAATTTTAATAATTAGGGATATTCATATTCTTATACTAACTGTTAATTGTTTTCTTTTCCAACGATAACATAAGATGATCGTTCTTCTTTATTAAATTCACATCACGATCTTTTTACTTCTTTCTTGTTGATTTTTCTGCCAAAATATTTTTCTAATTCTAAGCATTTCATCCAAAAACATATTCAACTATCACAGCAATGGAAGTTATAATCTGAGTATAAAGTATATATTCGTTGAAGTTTAAATCTAAATTTACTTATGTTAACTGTATTATAGGTTTCAATTTTAAATCAATATTTCAATTTTAAAATATTTTAATTAAAATTGTAAAATATTAATACTATATCAATTGAGTTCTTTACTGACATAAATATTAACTTGAGTGTTTAACCTAAATCAATGACAAATTTAGAAATATTTTTTAGGGCAAGTACACATATATTAACAACATAAATTTTGTTGTATGTTAAATTGAAGTAATTTTTTTAAAGGTGAACAAAATTAGAAATTTGTGTGTGAATCCATAGCTGATGACAACATAAATTTTACATGATGTCAAATGTGTTTTATTTATTTTTTATTTAAATATAATTTGATTGAGAGTGTATTAATTCATTTATTTTATATATTTTTAATAGATTAAATCAAATGTATATAATAAATAATAATATAATCTCATAATTTTTTTAATTTTTATTTATTTAAATTTAAATATAATAATATTATCATAAAAAAATATGGAATATATCAAATACTCATAAGCTGGTTATCTTATTATTTTATCTGATTCGTAAAAACGAATGGTATGGCAGATGCAGTGGTGAAAATATGAAGAGAAGGAAAAAAAAAAAAGAGAGTCATGTACAGCAAATGGTGGGTCCATGCAAACTAAGAAACTCGAAATCAGAGGTAGATTGGACGGCTAAATTTATTATAATAATTTGATTACATTAATCAAGTCCTTAATCATTATTATCATCCTCTCTCATTCGCTCTGGCTGCCTTATAAACCCTCCCTCTCCCACTCAGCTTTCATCATCCGCAGCTTAATAATTAAACTCAAAGTCCATTGTTTTTTTTTCTTTTGCAAAGCAAGAAAATGGCTAAGGATATTGAGACAGCTGCCAGAGCAACGTGGAGGGGCAAAGGACTATCATGATCCACCTCCGGCACCTTTGATTGATGCTGAAGAGTTAACCAAAT